ATTTGTGAGCTTAGTTTTCGAGAAAAGTTAAGGTCGCGGAAAGACAAAAAAATCAAACATTTTTTGACTAAACCAAGGCCCATAAGTTTTGGTGTCAGAAAAAATTGGGCTAGCCATAATTCGTTCTTTGAATTGAACTCAAGGCAGGGTAGTTTTCGATAATATGGAAAAAGCTTGAGAAATGATTAAAAATACAAAAATTTGAAATTCCGAGGGCCATAACTTTGTGTGACAAAAATTGGCGCAACCGCTAAAGCAAGGAGCTTTTCAAAATCGTTCTGTTCAACAATAATTTTAAACTCAGATTTGGAGGGGTAGTTTTTGAGAAAAAAAAAAAAAAAAAAACATGGGCCAAATTTTACCGCACAGAATAGAGTAGGCTCTAGACAGAGGGTTCACGTGAAAAAAAATTGGGCCATGCAGGCACACAGGTGAAAATGCGGTATTTCACTTGAAACCACTTTTTTTGAAAATCAGTAGAAGCTTCTCAAAAAATTAAAATTTTCCAATAAAATTAGAAACAATTTTCTATAACAAAAAAGAAATTTCAACAAGCCGATTGGTAAACATACAACCAAGTTGAAAACAGTGGAGAGGATTGTTTAGATTTTGTTTCCGTTGAAACGACCCAAACTTAGGTCATAAAAAATAGGCCGAAATAATTTGAGCCGAGGAAGTTTTTTTAGCGAAACCGAAGGAAATAAAAAATCAACGTAAGTAAAATTACAATTTATAGGAGTAAACCAAACACTAAAAGCAACACTAAGAAAAATTCGCGCAGCTAAAAAACACCTCAAGATTTGACAACTAGGCCGGCAACAGATACTCAGACAAATAAACGGCCATTTTATTTGAAATAGAATAATTCCTATTTGAAAACAAAAAAACAGGTCCAGGCTAGATTCTAACCAGGGACCTTCTAATTCAGGACAGATTCTAATCGTTACCTCTAGGCAATGTTGACCGGGAAAAAAAATTTTGAGTTCATTATGATTTGATAACGCTGGCTAATCGCAAGCATACAGGTTCCAAAAATCGATCAGAAATTCAAATTTTTGACTTTTATCAAATTCATAAATTTTTGTCTATTAAAACGTGGTAATAGCTTCTGCATTTCACATCCCTGATTTTTAAATTAAAGCTTTCTGCACCCTGATATTGTAGATAAACATTAAAATCAGAATAAGCTAGTGGTTTTAGAGAATAGTATTCCGCAGAAAAAAAACATGAAACAAATTACGCATGAAAAAATCAGAATCATCAGGTTAGTTTTTGAAGAAATGAATTAACTTTCCAAAATACGGGCTAATTCATTTCAAAATTGGACACTTTCTAAGGCAAACGCAAGGCATAGCCGTTTGCGCAGGTAAGATTTGCATACCTGATTTTTTCTTTCAGTTAAACCCTTTACCTCCGATTTGACAGTGGTTTTTGATAAGTCAACGTTTTAAAAATTAACCAAAATTTCAAATAATAGCCTTGTTTGAGGTCAAAACTTTTTTTACCGAAATTAGGGAATAGCCACTAGACAAGGAGAGATTCCCATAAATTGCTTTTTTTCGACTAAACCCTTCATTTCAGAATTGTGCATACAAAACTTAAGAAAATGAAAAAAAAATCAAAATCTATCTCTCCCTACTTAAATTTCGAAGGATGTAGAACGTGAAGTAAAATTAAAAGTGACTAGCGTGTAACGCACCTCCGGTGCTTCGAATTTTCAACAATTCAAAAAACTTTTTTTTGAGTGTACTCTGACAGCACCCAATTACAGGGTTCGTAATTACAAATTTTGCAAAGTTTTTTTTTCAAGTTTTTTTTAAACAAATTTTGAAGAAATATTAAATTTTGTGAAGTTTTATGTCAGTTCTTCGAAAAATTTAAAATGAACTAAAAAACGTCACATCTTGGAAACTGAAAGTAATTGAGCAGTCGCACTTGGACGGAATTTTTGTAACTACTAAGAGTACTCTTACAGTACCCAACTCCAACGTTGGGAAATTCAAATTTTGAGAAACTTCACCTTAAGGTTTCTTAAAAAAAGGCATTCACATCTCGAAAACTGCAAAAAGTGGAGCAGTCTTTTTTGATGGCAAAATTCGCAATCTTTGAAAGTGCACAATTACAGGGTTGGTAACTTCACTTTAACGAATTATTTTGTAATTTGAGTTTTCTGAAAATTTCCAAAAAAATCAATAAAATCATCGTATCTCTTAAACAAAATGATTGGGCATTCTTAAGCTTTCAGGAAAAACTTGAAAAGAACCTAAATAAATGTAATATCTCGAAAACTACAAGAAGTTGAGCAGCCATATTCAGAGGCAAGATTAGAAACCCATTGAGAGTACCCTCACAGATTCCATTAACAGGATTGAGATCTTCAAACTTTTGGATTTTTTAATTTTTAAGTTTTTTTTTTAAATTTCGTAGAAAATCAGAAAAAACGCCATATCTGGAAAATTTACAAGGATTTGAGCAGTCATAATTGGCGGCAAAATTTCCAACTCCTGAGAGTACCCTGACAGAGTCTCACCACAGAGATGGTAATTTCAAGTTTTGTGAAGTTTTTTATATCTAAGTTTGAAATATATAAAATTTTACAAAAAGTCCAAAAAAACATCATGTCTCGAAAACTACAAGGATTTGAGCAGCCATAATCAGAGACAAGATTCGCAAACCTTGGAAGTAGCCTCACAATATCCAAAAACAGGATTGAGATCTTCAACGTTTTGGAAATTTTCAAAATCTAAGTTTTTGAAAAAATCATAAAAAACGTAATATCTCAAAAACTACAAGTATTTGAGAAATGAGAATTAGAGGCAAGGTTCGCAACCTCTGAGAGTACCCTGACAGCGCCCAATTACAGGGTGAGAATTTCGAAATTGCCTTTCTCGTGCACTATAAGGATTTGGTTTTTCATATATGGAGGCCAGAATCGCAAAACCTGGGAAAACTCTGATAATATCCTACTATTGGGTTGCTTATTTCAAACTTGATGAAATAAACACTGTATTTAAACTGGAAAATCGAAAAAAAACCTTAACCTTTGCAATATACGATTAAGTGAAAAAATTCTTGTTAAACATGCAAAAATAATACGTTGAAAAAGCTTAAGCATGGCGAGATAGTGAAGCCCGCATTTAAATATATAATAGATAATAGACGAAGACAGTCATAATCAAATTAAGACAGACTAAATTTGACCTCGAAAAAAAATACTGAAAAATGAAAAAAATCTTGCGGAAAACTAATTGGAAAATTTTCTTAAGCATTGCAATATATGACATAGCTTAAACATGAAAAAATTCTTTCGTTAAACATGCAAAATTATTATGCTTAAACATGGAAGATAGCTGTCACTCGCATTTAAATATAGTATAGACTAGCGATATATGCAGTCACATAGAAGAGCAGCCGGTTTTTTCATGGGTACCATTTTTGTAAATTAGTACCGTAGTTTTTGAGAAAATTTAATGAAATTTCTGCGAAAAGCAAAAAATTTACTGAGCGTTGCAAAAAAAAACGAAAAACAAACCTCACATTTTTATAATACATATGCCATGAAATTGTTCATGCTTAAATATGATTAAATTGAAAGTGCTAGCAAATGAGCTCTTTCATCAGCGACTTAGGTTAGAAAAAAATCTTCGCTTGTAATGAATGACCCTCATTTCGTAAGATTTCAGACCTTTTTTATTTTGAAATAATTAGATCTCGTTCAGGAAATACAATATGTTGTTCTATGAAACTCCGGCATTTTGTCAACACAGTAAATGAATCCTGTTTCTCGTTTCTTGAAAAAATCTATCTGATTTGATAATTTTTGCATCGAATTTTATTTACAAAAATAACATCTGGTTACGAGTTCATTTGCACTACAAAGTACAGTGAAACAGTAAGTCTGAGTTGGTCTGTAGTTACGTGCGCCATCAGATCAGATGAAACATCTACAAATTTAAGAGCACTGATAATCAGAACAATTCTTTTCGTTTCATCTTCTAAATCTTTATATGAAGTAAACAGAAATAGAAAGACTCAATTGATCGACGATTGTAAAACTTATGTACATTTTGAGTCCGCTAAGGAAAAGAAAAGAATTAGTTCAGATTACTTTACAGAGCTAAGTAGGTTATATGACAAAACAAACGACTGAGACAACAAATTCAACAAATAAACGAGCTGATTGAAACAAATGACAACTTTTGCGACTAGATTTCCAGTGAAGTTTTTTTTATTTCGAGCTTTCTGAAGTTTCCAGTTTTATCAATTGTCAGTTATCTGTATTTACGAACTGAATTGTTAATTTATCATTTACAGATTTGTATTTCAATTTTTAATTTCCCAATTAGAATATTTACAAATTTATAAATCTGCAAAATCTGATAACTATATATCTAACTTGTTTACTATTGCTACTACACTAATACACGGAATTTAAGAATGCAGACAAATTAAATACCGATACAAAAAATGCCGATTTCATAATCTATTTTGAAAAAAAACGAAGGCCTAAATAATCGCTTTGGCCATTTTTGATTCCGGCTAGAGAAAAAAATCAAAATCCGTATAAAAACTATATTGATGTGCTCGTTTAATTTTAACCTAATCAGATTTTGCAAAAATAAAAAAAAAGATCTGCCCTTTAGAGTTTCGGGTCATAAACTTGTCTGCTAATTAGATTCTAACTTCGTTTGTGGAATAAAACGGATATTTGATATGGACACCAACACAGATGAATGCACAACTTTTTCTGTTAATATGTGACCAGTTAAAAGAAGTATTAGCACAAAATAGCAAGCACTAATCTAGCGATTTGACTCTGGGTTTGATGCAAAAATAATGCCCGTTTTCTCATTGATTGAAAGATTTCGCAACGAATTCCATATTGTCAAACGACAAATATCAACTTTTAAGCAGGCGAACGGAATAAAGTAACAAATTCAGACGAAAAAATGCAAGCAAACAGAAAAAAATCTGAAAAAATTGCATTCAATTTGCTTCTTTTTATTTTTCAATACAGCTCGAAAAAATCTAAAACCCTTTGTCAAATTACGTTCATATTAGCTACTGCATACAGTATTCAGTTTAGTCTGTGACCGTTTTAAAGTAAGTGGATAAATCTACTAACTAGTTAAAGGGTTACAATAAGTTTGTTTGGTTTATAAATCATAATCGAATCAGCATCATTTCATAAGCTGCGCGGAGTTATAATAATGAGCCATGTAATGTAGATCTTTTTTTTTCTCTTCGATGGGCGGTTTGGGTTGAGGCATCGTAGGGTGGGTTAACTAGGGTTCGGTTTCTTCCGGGAGGGGTTGTATGTATATTTTATTCACGCCCTGGCGTCTCGACTACTAGGTGCTGGTGCTCCACTTGTGTTCATACTATTTTGCGCGCCAGTTCCCTGAAATCATTCAAACAGATGTCACAAACTCTTTTCAATACATAGATGGCCATTTATAACTCAAGAGGATGCTAATGAAAAGTAGTTTCCAGTATGGGTCCAAACTCAAGTATTACATTATACTTTATTACTATTATAAATCTTTAATCAATAACGCCAAACTTGTTTTGAACTTCGGTTGACGTGAATTGGATCCTAAGCTAGATCTAATACGTCTTGAGAAAAACTTCGATTTGGTGAAACTAAAGAGTTCCATAACTTGAAATCGAATTTCTCGAAAATCAAACTATGTGAAACCATCGACCTTGGAAACAAAAACAATTCTTGTGTCCTATAATTGAAGGTTCCTTAAGTGCCGGCACCCTATAGCCATTTTTTCCTAAATCGATAAACAAATAAAACCATTTTGATCAGCATCTTTTGCAACTCATCTTTTGTTCTGAGCAGGTTTTGGCGGGAAAATCCGTTTTTTTTCCAAACACAGCCGTATTGCCGTATAATTTGTACAGTTTCGGCCGATCCAAACTTTTTGCAAATCTTGAAACAATTGCAGTCGATCCGAGTTCCTTGCAACTATCATTTCTCCCTGATCTGATAGACTGGTATCTGTTAGCTTTGAGTTTCAAGTTGTCTTCTAGATAAGCCACAGGCTTTTTAGATATCTTTGTTGATGATTGTAAACTTCTTGGTAATTATGTAATCAAGCAAGTGAATTAAATATTATAACCTGTTGGTTCTGAGCCGGTTGTCTCCTCCTCAGCCAGTCGTGTCTGAGTGCCCTTCCAGGGGTGAATCTCTCCTCGGGGGTCCACTTTAGGCAGTTCTTCAGGAAGTCAATGAACACTTCATCTTCACACTCACGCAGTGCACGCGACCACGTCTTCGAACCTGAACATTTATCCTCCTTAATTTAGCTCATCCATGTTAGAGCGTCTTCTTTCAAATTCAACTTATCCAAACCACTAAATCAAGCCAAGAAGAAGAATGATTGCCAGTTGCTGTGCAACTGCACGTTGTTCAGAATTTTCCGACCAGCAGGAGTAGAGAAATTCAAAACTAAGGAAGCAAAAAACTTTACATTTTTTGTTAAATTTTTTTAGTGAAAGCCAAAGATTTTTTAGGTAAAAAACTTCAAAACAATGAGAGGTAAGTATAGCGACACTGAGGCAAAGCTGCACTTCGCAAGCCAAGCCAGAAAACGGAAAAAAGTAGCTCCAAAAAAGTAGACCAGGTAAACTTTTCCTAAATGCCGGAATCCAACCTCCAACGTGAAGATTACGAGTCTCACATTAACGCATCTGCACCATGATCATTTGACAATAGGCAAACACTAGCCACCAACTAAGCAGATAGAACAGATGCAATCGAATTAACAAAGCTCTGCAGCAAAAATGCCATCAAATGAGAACTTTTATTTGATAGTTGGTTTGATTCGTGGTATGTATGTTTGATTCATAGTAATAAAAGAAAAAAAAACTCATAAAATGTTGTGAAATTTGGTCCTAAAAACCAGAAAATCTCCATTTTCTAACAACTTTTTTTCGGTATTCTTTTTGGAATTCAAATCACGACTGAAAAGGCTGCTAGTGTGCTACCACACTAGCGGAAAGGCCTGTAATATGCTGCCACACTCGATACTCAAGCTTTACATGGTGTTGTCTAAGTCGGGGAAAAACATTCATAGCCAACAGCCAGTTGGAAAAGAATGAATGATCGCAAATGAACAGAAAAAAAAATAATTACTTTTTTTGAAAAAATCTCCAATTTCCCATTAGAAAGAAAAAATAGATAGCCTTAGGGCTCTGTAAACTTCTAGAACAATTTATGATTGATACTTTTCTGATTAAATTAACTCAACTTAAGAAAACTGGATCAATTGGTAAACTTTTTATTCTGCTGGAAAATCTGAATACTAAAACTGACTGTCGAAACTGAAGTCAAGCCAATTTTTTGTGACCTTTACAATTTTGCTGTTTGATAGCGGAGTTTGCCTTCCTTTTAACAAAGGAAACAATTGAACTTTAAAAGAAACCAGAAGTCAGACAGCGAAAACGTAAGCTTTTCCTGAAAAAATCATCAGCACCTATATGAGAGACTGAATTACGTTCATCGACTCTTGAACACTCTACGCCACAGTCTTTCTACTCACTTCGTCTGATTTGAAAAACTTACCTATTGAAATTACCAATCAGGCATCCGACCATAGACTTTTCTATAAGTTTTACGTCTGAGAACCAGAAAAATTGAAAAGTAGAAGAGTAAGCAAATACGCAACTTTATTAAATTTATTACAGGTAATCGCCTGAATCTTACTCTTACCTGGGGGTCCCCTCACTTTTCCCCTCCTTGACCTTCCCGCACCCAGAATGACCTGGTCATCCTGCATCGACACTGTACAATACCTTAAGAAAAGAAGATTAATTTTAGTTAAAAATGAACATTCAACAAAGATAATCACAATTGACAACTCTGAGAGGACAGCCCTTGAACCCATTTGATATTCAAACGCCTGCCCTGTAATCCGAACATAATCAAAAGATACTGTGAGGTCATCAACGCATTTTCAAAAAAAAACAGTCATCAAGTCAGGTTCAGTCAAATAACCTTGTGTAGCTACATTGTTCTGTTTACAAACGCATTGCCTGTCGTAGTGTTTTGAAAATTTTGACAAATGACTGATTTGAGAAATCTTTCTAAACTACTCAAAACTTATTGTCGGGTTTATTCGCTGTGGAAAAAAACTATGAGTGGAGTTTCACCTTGGGTAGCCTCTACTACTGATGAAGTTCCTGGCTCTTTTTGATTGGTCCAGAAGTGACTGGGGAGGCATGTCCAGCAGTTCGATGATACAGGCCAGCTGATCTGCCTCATCCTCCCCAGGGAATATTGGAATTCCTGAAAAAAAATTGATTAATCAGGAAAAATGGAATTACGACTCCTGTACATTTCCCTCTTCGGAACATCAATTGAAAACTATCCTGTTCAAACTAACAAATGTGAAGAAATGAGTTCTTCAATAGTTCCTTACATCGTGGAACCTGATCTAAACTACATTTTATGATTGGATAAATTAAATGTTTTACCAATGTAAAGTATTTAATATTAACCAATCATGATCCATCTAACTAACAACCCACTTATTTGTAAGTGCTGAAGTTACTTGTAATTTCAGCACCAGAGAGATTTGAATTTAACTTAGAAATTAGTTGGACTCTCCCGAGCACTTCAACAGCCGCAATAGACCAGTATACCCTAGATCTATTGAGCCTAGCAGAGACTAGTTAAACAACCTGAGACTAGATAGTATAAGAGTAAGATTAGGATCGGTATTAGACTAAGAAGTTGCACGAATCTATCCGGCCGAAAATAAGATAGCGTGACGAGCAGACGGTGTACCCTATCCGAAATTACTCTATGAGTTACACTTCGGTCCTAACTCATCTGGTGCGACCATAAGTCTCGAACAAGACCTTAATAGATTAGAATTAACCAAAATAGATTAGAAATTAGACAAAAACATTTACAAAAATGTTATACGACAATAATTTAATCGAAATGTCTCTACGACTCAATAGATCAGAGCCAATATTCCGAACCATAACAGAACTACCCGGAATTGGAAGAAGACCTCGAACCAAAGACGACATACGACAAAGTAGAAACTTGCCGTATAGTTATATGATAGTTCGGCAAAAGCCAGAACAAACTTTTATATTTCGAATACTACTTGCAATGAATTTAGATTTCCATTTGCAAACATAAAACCTTGAAGTTACTCTTCAAAATCATTTCAGGCGCTAAACAAATTTATTAATATACAATAACGATTGATAAAAAGATCTAAGATCGTTTTCCTAAAACTCTGCAGTATTATACAAAACATGTTTGAAAAATATTTATTGGAAAATAAAAATAAAAATTAGTAGCATGACAATAAATGGTTAGTAATCATAAATCATCCTGTTGTTCCAGCTTCATCATCTAAAACATAACAGCAATCATAAACCCACTAATATCATCAAAACACTAAATCTTTCCTTTAAACACATTTAAAATTTTAATAAAACTTAAATTCACTTAATTTTAAAACCAGATCATCAAGGCTTATCCTTGGATCTTAAATCATTTTCTACTTAATTAAATTTCAAATTTGATCATCAAGGCTTATCCTTGGATCAAACAGAACAACTTTGTTCTCCCCCACCCACTTAATTAGTGTCTAACGACCTCAAACGTCGATTCACTACCCAACCCTTTCTAAAGACCTAAGACTAATAGAAATTTTTAAACAAAACTAATCATTCAAATTAGGATAAACAGTGAAGAACTTCGGTTATTCATCCTTCACTTGACCTCCCCTCTTACCAGACCCAGGATAAATCTTAGACTTAGTAAGTTTAAAATAGTATCTAACGAACTACTCGCGTTCTAATTATACCTGAACCTTGTGGATCGATTTACTATTCTCCAACCCTTGAACACAATCACTACCCCTAAGTAAGATTAAGTAAGTTAACACCTTAACTTATACTAGCCACGAGAAAGTAAAAAATCATTCTTCGGAATCGATATACTTTTCTCTCCAACCCTGAACAAACAGACCCAGGTTAAGCTAACCAAAAAATCGTAAGAACTAACAGTTTAGGAAAATAGAAATCATTTAACAACCCTTTGCATCCGTCATTCTAAACCTTATGTCATTTAAAAACCTAGGAAATAAACAAACAACCGTTTTACACAATTGTGAAATAGATAACAAAAAATACGACCTTGTAATCACACCTCATACACAAACAGTTGGATACATTCGAACAAAACGACAAACACTAAAAAGAAAAATAATAACGAAACAAAGACAAATAACACGAAAAAGATTTTCAAAAAATCGAAACGCATTTTCAGAATCAGAAACCAACAGTTTAGACGAACTTTACAAACTAAAAGAATCAATAGATAAAAATTGCCCAATTCACGATCAATTATATTTCTCTGACTCAGAAACAACTTCAAATTCATCACAAAGAGGAAAAAGAAGAATAAAAAAGCAGTACAAACACAAACCAGTACATTTATACAATTGGAATCAACCAATTCGACACATTAATAATTACATATTAACAGTCATCGAACGAAAAAATGAGCTCAACGCACACTCCAGGTGAAGAAACTCCAGATGATGATGAAATCTTTCCTTTTATAGTAGACGCAGATACTGATAGAGGACAACACATATTTTGTCAAAATTTACTCGTAAATTTATTTGAACCCGGAATTAGTCCATGTAAAACAGAGTTCCCAGATGTAAAAATCAAAAGACAAATCATAGACCACTACTTAAAAGATATATGCAACATAACACAACAGTATGGAATCTACTCCATAGAATTCACCTCACCAAACCATAATAATAGAAAATATACAATTCAAACAGACGATCTTGATTTAGAATTTTCAAAAGTTTTTTCAGAATATATAAAAAGCATCCAATATCAAAACTCACAAAGAGCAAACTCCATATTCACCAATGAAGTTTTCGCAATAATATATAGTTATATTTCGATATTAGAAAACGAAATCCCAATAACAAATGTCTCACCGACAGAAACATCTAAACATTTAAGAGTACGACATGAAATCACACTACTCTCTAGTTATTTAAACATAATTAAAGAAAATTTCACGAAAGACGACGTTTCACAACATACAAAACACGATCTACAAAAAATTTTGGCATGGTTCATAATAGATTACTTCACACACAATATTGATTTAATTGCACAAGCAAGAAAAAATTTTAGACCCCAAAACTCGAACGATGATACCGCTATCACAGAACAATCAGATTATGTTTGGGACCCCGAATGGTCTCATCCCGCATTTATAAGCTTCCCACAATCAATCTCAAGTCAAGCAATAAGTACGATATCTTACATAAGAGATTATGTAAAAGTAATACCATTAACCATTGATGCAACACCATTAAACTATAATACATTTTTGCCCGATACACAAAATAATAGTTTAAACTCTACAGTTATACACAATGAAAACCTCAATGGAACTAGGAATCTTACTCAACAAGATATCCAGACACCATCACACTTCATAAATGAAGAAATTGTACACACAACAACTACACAACAAAGTATTTCACCAATACGCCCAAATTTAACAACACCAAGAAATACAAATCCTTCACAAACACAGGTAACCTTACAATCAACCGTTAAACCTTCGGTTGCCCCTAAATATTCACATATGGATTACCAAACATACAGACCCATGACAATACCATCAAAAACACGCAAAACATTCACTAGAAACAACTTTACAGACCATAATTATAATTATACACATCCATCAAAAACATGTAATCAACCACAAAGGAATTTTAACCAATATACAAGATCTCGAAATTGGGATAACCCAATGACCCAACCTAATTCAATAAATTTCCAAACAAATCCTCCACAGGATCACAGTGAAAATTACCCATTTTTTCAACAAAATAAAAATAAAAAACAAACATCTTATCAAATGGATTATTTATCCTCAGATGATGATTTCTTACAACCAGATATATTTGCACCAAATACTCAAGAATATCGTAGACAAGGAATACAGAGAACACGTACAAATCATAGAAATTTTTCTCCACAACCAATAGATGCACAAAATCAACAACCAATTCAACAACAAAATCCAATTAATACACAATCTTTTCAACCAATTCAACAACAAAATCCAATGACTGCACACTCGTATCAACCATCACAAATGCAAAATGAAATACCACTCCCATATTATCTCCAACAACATGAGATAACAAGAAACCAACTTTCAAATTTTTCTCAAATGCCAAATGCAGCAGAATCATTACAAATGACAATGAATCCATACCTTATGGGTGGATCATCAATAACATCAAACAAACCTTTAATGGTTTTCACAGGAACAGACCCTGAATACTCTGTAGAAGATTATTTAAATGCAGTAACAGCAAACCTGATTTTAAATATTGGACCTGAACCCATTAATACGCCACTACATCAAAACTGGATACATCGACGCACAGCGTTAATACAAACAACCTTAGATGGCGCAGCCCAAAAATGGTTTTCAGTACTACCTCTAGAAATAAAATCAAACTGGAAAAGATTTACACAAGAATTTTCAAAAATGTTTGACTCCGAAAGAAACAAACAACAACAAAGAGTTTTATGTAATGAAATTCGCAGATTACCAAACGAAACCATCAAGCAAATAGCAGTACGAATCGAAACACTAGTTCGAAAAGCATATTCATTAAATACACATGACTATAAAAACACAAAGATGACAGAAATCTTAATGATGACCTTAACACCACAATTAAGGAAAATAGCAATAAAAAAGAGAGCATCACATCCTTCTTCAATTCGAGAACCCGATTTAGATTTTCGAAAACTAGTAGACAAATTAGAACAAGCAGAAATCACGATGAAACTAGAAGAAACGGAAAATCTAAAATTACAATACGTTAACAGAATTGAAACGACTCCCACTAATATTAATAATATACAGGAATCAGAGACAGACCTCATTGAAAAAATCACTGAAATACTCAATATCTACGAAAAGAACCCAAACTTTAAAGGCAAACCATCTTTCAAAAAATGGTGTAATTATTGCCGACGATACGGACATAGTATTTCCGAATGTAGACAAAAACAGCAAGATAATCAAAATAAACCTCAAAAATATAAAGAACCAAATAAATCATTCTATCAATACATGAAAAAAGATCAAAATCTACCGAACAAAACAGTCCACAGCAACAACAGTTCAGGAAAACCACTCCCGAACAATACAAATTATACAAGAAATCAATCACCATATAACTCAAGTTATAGAGG